GGCAACGGTGCTAACCACTGAGCCACCTTGCAGCCCGCCCTTACATATATATTAAGAAAAATCAGCCAATATATCGATATCAGATGTTTTTTACTCCCTAAAATCGTCCCCAAAAGTCCAGTATCGGTCGTGTTCTAATACATAATAATATAAATGTTTAGCATTCTGTTTAAATCATACAAAAATATCCTCTGTTCTGTTAGGATTACTGTATTAATTCGAAAATGCACTACTGTCTATTATGATGTTCTACAGCGACGTTTAAATAAATAAAAAAATCACTGATGTTGTGGAAACAGTCTAATGGGTAGCAGGTTATTAATTATACATATAGTAAAAAACACTTGGCAACGTTTTTTGTTTTTTTTTACCCTCTCTCCTTCAGTCTCCATCCCTGTATCCTGTTCACATACAGTATTTATAAGCTATATATGAACACTTATGACATTCCACCTGCTTATAAATGCATTTGTCAACATCAGCAACTCTTCGTCTGAATCATATAACAAGATAATAAGAATAACGATAATGGTTCAGTCGGGTTGTCCTTACTTCTTGATGGAGTTTGTGATGAGCAGGCTGGCATCCTGCTTCTCGTCCAGCAGCATCATGGCTCCCAGGTATCCCACTCGTTTCTCGCTGTAGCGCGGGCTGGCGATCATTCGCACGCACTCCATCTAGCAGGAAGAGCAACAACACTTTAAAATGTGAACTAACTCGAACCACTGGCACTACTAATGCCCCGAGGCAAATTCTCTGCTCTTTATCCGCTACAAGTGGAGGTCAGTCTCCGATTCCAAAGCGGCGGCCAAGTTCCAATGTCCACCCTCGTGAACTCATAGACTTTGACATTGGATTACGGTGCTGAAAACTTTGCTCGACTGAACTGAACCACAATGCATGTGCACAGCGATCTAATGATGGGGAAAGAAAAATGCACCAGTTTTACCAGCATCATGCTTATTATGGGGCATGTGATTCCTCATTTCAGAATCCGATCGTTGCTGTGTCGGCTTCACATTGGACATGGTGATTTGGTGCATTACAGTTTTGAGGATTTTGAAGCCAAGCAAGCGAAGCAAGTCAAATAAACAGCAACTGTAGCAAATCCGATACATTTTAAGTGATAAGGAAGATTTACAATGTGCAGGAATGAGGAAACGTTCAAGTTATTCGCTTGAGACTGTGCAAATTTCTCTGAGTATCTCCTCAAGCTCTGTCGTGCGCTCACACATATTTTTGGTGAGCACTCACACAGATAACATCTGACTCAAGTGTACCCAGTGCCCTTTCCAGCTGCTGTGGCGGTTCCTCGCCTTCCTGCCCCCACTTTGACCCCGAGCGAGAAACGCATGACAGGCATTAGCCAAATCCACTCACCTGACCAAAGTGAGCCGGGTAGCCCAGCATGTGCACGTAGAGCAGCTTGGCCAGGTTGTGCGACCTCCCACCGTTGTCGGCTTGTCTGAACTGGGCCCGGATGGCAGCGCACTCCCTCTGGATGACGCCTCGCTCCTCACACTGGGTCCTGGCTGAGCGGATGGCCCGGATCATCTCCTGCAGGGGTACTGATGGAGACATGGCTGTGGGGAGATGGACAAGGACATGTTAGAGCATGGCAGACTATAAACAGAGAATATACTGATCTATGTGTTGGGTTATACCTCCAGGAGGTTCAGTGAAAAGCAGCTGGACTTGTCTGTAAGGTTCTTGAAGAACCTTACAGACCTTTAAGAACCTTTAAGAGAAGTCCAGCTGCTTTTTACTGAAGCTCTTTGGTTTATCATGACCTGGATGAATGAGAATCTACACAGACACAGAGTACAAATGGTAATAGTAGCAGTAGTAGTTAGTACTTCACACCTTGTACCTCCTCCTCCTCCAGGTGTGTGATAGACCCACTACAACACTGTAACACACATCCACCACATAGCAGCTACACGGAAACAGTTCAAACAACTTCGACTGCAAGTTCAATAAAACCCGACCGCTGCTTCGGTTGCTGTAGCACAATTCACCCCCTAAACACAAAGTTACCGCCACCTAACCGACGTCTACACCACTTTGAGGCGACCAAATAGCTTTTAATTAAAGGGTTAACTGACAAGTTAGCGTGTCACTCCCGCGGTCGGTGATGCAGGTCAGGGAAACGAGCCAGAGGCTAGCCAACTGACCGAACCGAGCTAACCTTGCGGATGCTGTCAAGCCTGCCGTGTAGGAGACAGCAGAGCTACAGGGCTAAGCTAAGTTAGCACGACAGTCGGCGCGTTCGGTGGGGTTGGAGGTAGAAAACGTCAACGTACCTGTGTACTGTACGGAGTTGACAGTATTTAAGAAGTAAACCCGTTCCGCCGACCCTTCTCCAACACACGGCGGCAGTCAGTTGGCTGGAAACACAAATACTGTGAAGTTACTGTCGATGCGGCGAAGCTAATCGCTCAACTTACTGTAGCGGATTTCAAAATAAAAGACACTGTGGTGAGTAAAGCTTTGCATTGAGTTATTGCATTTGTTAAATGGAAAATTAGCCAAAATTATTATTATTATAACATAATATAACATGCCCTGCCATAGCCTGGAGACCTATCCAGAGTGTCCCCTGCTTTCGCCCTTAGACATTTGGGATAGCCTCCAGCCCCCGTGGGACCCGACAGAGAATAAAGCGGTGTATAGATGATGGATGGACATAATACAGCAATGTTCCTCTTTAAACTGTGTAATAATAGTGCAATAACAATTTATGGACAATTCCACACACTGTGTATGTTGTCACAACAATAGGTTATGGCAAAAAGAGGGGAGACGACACAGGTATTGCCAGATTTAAACTTGAGCTTTTATTAACTGGTTTAATCAATGCTTTCAAAGTGATGATGTCTGGATGCCTGGATGTGATGTGGTGCAAGGTGTTGTCTGATGTAAAGACCAAACCAAAATGACACAAACCCAAGTCACAAGCATGAGGAGAGAGAGAGAGAGAGAGCAGGAGCTGAGGGGTTGGCCCATTTGTAACCTGGGAGCGCTGGGCCCAAGCGCGCCAAGCAGGTAGGTCAGTCTACGGACCTGAGGAAACAGAGCCAAACACAGACAGCCAATGTGACTAGGTGGGGCCGTCACAATGTCAGATAATTTGGGTCTAATGATCCATCATGCCATAGCTGATCATGTCAAATATGTACATAGTCTTCATTCTTATCTTTTTAAAAAAAATCAGTCTTTATTCTGCTTTTGTTTTCTAGCCTGTTGTTGTTGGTTTTTTTTTTTTTTACTATGCTTCATTTTTATGTAGCTACTGTAATGTGCAAATTTCTTATCTTATCATAGATCAATCTCACAGTGCAAATTAACTTTGAATGTAAATAATCAGGTCAGTGTACAAACTGAGAAAAAGACGAGTTACAGCATCGTGACACTATTACAATGCTTTTTTCATAATCCACTTTTGACACGTCATGGAAGGAGAATCATTGTTACAATCACACAAATTTAAAATGAAACTTTTTTCTCAAAAATTTCATTACATAGCGATATTAATATTTTTTTGCATTATATATCTCCCTTCACAAACGTCAAACATTTTGACTGGACACAGCAGTAAATCACACATGTAAGCAATAAGTAATAATAACAGAGGCCTAGGTAAATGTTTTAATTACACTTATGCATTGTCTTATATGTCCAAATCTTTTCTGTCAAATAGTTTTTCTGCAGCTATATACCACACTTCAGTGTCCTCATCAGCAGATGGACAAATAATTATTATTTTTTTAAACTGCTAAAGTATAAACAGAACTTGTGAGGACTACTTTGAGTATCTGGCAGATGCTATATTACAAAATAACCATGAAAAATGTATATTCAAATATATATGCCTGAATCGTCACCTCTTAATTCCCTTTTAATATATCAATGAAAATGTTTTGCAAAATTCCAAACTTTAAAATAATCAAATTGTGTTATAGCATGTATGCTGCAAAGAACACCTCACAGAAAACAACCTTAAAAGCACTAAACAGAGCAAAGACTACATGAGCAACCATATGAAAGAGGCCTGCTGCAAAAAGAAAAGCAATTCAATGCGGTAATTTCTGTCTTAAGCGTAATTTCTGATCTGTGATGCATTATTTAGGTGCATGAATTCAGGCTTTTATTTTGAAGGCACACGCATCTAGCTGTAGCCTCTCAGTGTCGGTGACGTGACATCTTGACCCACCTTTTCATACCTGTTCATGACTTCCGCAATTTGATCAGGCATTGTGGCTGGACTCCACGCCCTGAGGATCAGGACTTCCAACAGGTGGATGAAACATTGATGAGGAGCTGCAGCCGGCAGCACAAGACTGCAGCAGCACAGAGACGGTCTCTATGAGGACAACCAGGCATCTCATTCTAATGAGACACCCGGAACATCACTCAGGGGATAGAAACATTTAAAATATGTCAATAGTCTCTGTATGCTAAATATGAACCACAGACAAAGGGTTGGAAGATTTTAGAAATACGTTTATATTGATATTTTACAATGACTTCATCAGTCATACGTTGGATAAGAGAAAACTCATTGAGCAGCTTTTCATTGTGATATTTCTTCACAAATACATACATTTTTTAAATTCTGTCTTAAAGAAATACAAACTTTAGCTCTCTGTGCGTATACAAAGACGGACATTTGGAGTGAATAATTTATGTAATGTGGCAGAAAACACAGACGTATTGACAGTACTAATAACATCCTATAACACTGAACCCTACTACAGTGAGGTCATCGTATCAACACATACACAGAACTTAGACATTATTTACCGCCACCTCCCACACTCACGAACAAGACAGACAGAAAGGGAGATGTTTTAAGTACTAAGGTGAAAACAAACAAACAAGACATTTCTTTGAGTTGCATTTCATATTTAAACAGTCATCCACAGACAATAAAACGAAACAACAGTTCAGCATTAAGGCCTGTAAAAAAAAACAAAAAACAAAAACAGCAAGTAGGTTCAGTGTTGTGGAACATTTGGAAATGTTAACATGATCGTGAAGTGAATATGTATGCTCATCTTTCTGGGAGTCTTTTCCCAGGCGTCTTTTCTTCCCCCTCAAACCACATGTTTGTGTGAGGAATTGTTCCTGTGCATGTTTAATCCGGTGTTTGCAGGGTGTTTCCAGCTTCCCCATCTGCATCTTTCGGTTCCTCCATTACTGGGTAAACCACCAAGCACAGCTTTTGGCACAGATGAGTCACTTTACCTGGATACAGATGGGAAAGAAAGAGATGCAGTGAATACATTTATAGAAGTAAAGGCTGCTTTAGTCTCCTGACATCTGAATTTAATAATTAACCACATCAGAGTTCACCTGAATGGGTTTTGGGAGCTTCTTTGTAGACTGGAGTCTAATGTACAGTCGTGACTTGATAATCCGACACTAAATGTAAAACCTTCTTTTATGTCGGATAGCAAGGCTGTCGGATTGTCAAGACGGAGGTCAAGGTACAAGGAGGGCTTGATGCTTGAAGGCTCATTTGTTCATATTTATTGTTCATAGTTGTTATAATAACTAGTGTATTGTTAGAACACTACGCATCGCTGGATTTCACGCCTAACTGACCGGTGTGCTTGTGCACGTTCCGGCCACTTCCTCCCTGGGGGAGCGCTCTGACAGGGTGGAAGTGGCCGGAACACACAGGCAGTACTTGGCTGCTGATGCTAGTTTAGTTAGTGGTCACAGTTCTGTTTCCACCATCGGTGGCGGCGGGGGAGTGGCAGATACGCTCCACCGTTACCATCCATGTTTACTTCTGTAAACACTGAGCACGCTCGCTATGTGTGACGTCGTCGTGTCCTCTTCTGCGCATGCGGGACACTTTTGGGTCGTATGAAGATCACACAGCAGATCACATACAAGTCACATTTAATTGGAAATGTGAACGAACTCACAAAAAAAATCTGAATTGAGCATTAAGTCCTGCAGTTTGAACGTAGCCAATCTGTCGGATTGTTCAGTCAGATAATACGCCGTTATGCTGATTGGTGACATAAAATGTCATGTCGGAGTCGGAATCCAAGGCTGTCGATATGTTAAGGCTATTTTTCATGGGTTCTGTTAGTTTTTCCTAAAACCTGTCGGATAGCAAGGTTTTCAGATTGTTAAGGGTCGGATTATCGAGTCACGACTGTACTTATTACAATGCCATAACCAAATAACACAACCATAACAATGTTGCCTTACCTGTCGCAATATCAAAACACTCTGGCTTATTTTCCCAGTAGACTCCAAGAAAATATACAGGGACGCCTGTCATCATGATGGCCAGGCCAATACCACAGACTACAGGGTCAGTGTAGAGGGAGAAGATGAGCAGGAAGGCCCAGAAGAGCAGGTAGATCACTGGCCACACCAGGCTCACCTGCAGGACAGGAGGACAAATAGAAATATGGAAAAACATAAAGTTGAAATACTTTTTTTTTTGCTTTACACTAAATTCCAGTTCTGTATTCCAGATTTGACGCTGGATTTGTTGTAGTGTGATACAGTTAGAATCTAAATGTTTACTCTTTTTCTATCTCTGGTGAGCTTCCAGCAAAGGAGGCTAAAGCTGGATTGTCTAATTTAATACACTTTTAGCACCTGCTGAAAAGCCTCAGAGGATGCCAGGTTTTTGGAAACTGTGGAATTGTACAGTGTCATTTTATTCATGGCTGTTTCTTTTACGTTTTAACTTCCCCACAAGATGTCAGCGTGAGGGTTTAATCTTTAATATACCGCAGAAATGACAGTTTTCTGAAGTAGAAGCTGCTTTATGGTGTCTGTACCTTGATGGGTCGATGCATGTTGGGCGCCTTGACGCGCAGCACAATCTGCCCGGCGACAGTGACGCCGTAGAAGAGGTAGTTGATGAAACCCACGTAGTTTATGAGGGTGTAAATGTCACTGGTGCACAACATCAGCAGAGTGGAGATCAACTACATGTGTTACCAGAGGGGGGAAAAAAAAGAAAAAGAAAAAACGTCATCCTTTTTACACAGGGAGAGGACACAGGCACGCAGAGAAATGGATGCTGTTATTTTGTCAGGGCTCACAGTAGACAGTAAGGCTGGGATGGGAGTGCAGCGCTGGACATGAATCATGGCCAGCAGACGTGGTAGATGGCCTTCCCGCGCGCCGGCGAAAAACAGCCTGAAAGCAGAACCGAAGATGGTTAAGTCCTGAGAGCGGAGCCAGATGGTGCTTGCTTAACGTGGGCATTTGCCAGATGATGGAGCAGCTCAGAAAATACACAGTTCAGGTGTTTATGGAAGCACGGGAGCACAGACGAACAGAGAATATAAAATTGCAGAGTGGAAAATGAACCCAACAAGGATAAAGCAAGGTCTCTTAATATCAAACTGGCCTCTAATAAAAGAATATTTTACAAATCAGGCCTTTGAATATCAAATCCAGCTTGTGACCTTATAAAAAGAAAGATTTTGTTCCTGTTAGGCTTTTCATTTTCACCATGCTACAGTGATGGACTCAGATTTTTTAAAGCACCACAGAAGCCCCAGCGAAATGACACAGAGGACAGAGGCAGGAGGAGGACTGGAAGGACACGACAAACTGACCGCGACGACGTGAACAGGGAGCCATTGACCCCCCCGAAGGTGGACAGCGCCACAGAGATAGGCATGATCCATGACATTACTCCTAGCAGTTTCTCTCCAAATGTCTGAGAGAAACATTAGGACCAGAGAGAGAGAAGAGGAGGAGGAGGAGGAAAAAAACAAATACACGATTCAAACACCTAAATAACAGTGATTAATCGAGAGAATAACTGCGACACACATCCTGCTACACTGATGAACATGCATCGGTGTGGTTTTGCTAAATTTCGGGGTGATCATGAGCTCAGATTAAGCTACTAACTGCATGCATGTTGAACACATCGCACACATTCACACTGGGCTAATTGTGAGTCTCCTATCTCACCACTGCCACAGCGTTGGAGGCCAGCAGCTCCTGGGGGCTCATGGCGGTGGCGTAAGCCACGTTGGCAAACACGTAAACAAAGGTGACCACGGGGATGGATATGAAGATCGCACGTGGCAGATTCCTGAAGGGGGAAAGACACAATCAGTATAGATCGTAGTAAATTATTAAAGTCCCAATTTGGTCATTGATTAAACCCCTAAGAACTCATCTCTGCATGTTAGACTTGTACATTTAGAGGGTTTTCCCATGAAAGTAATGGAATGCATGTAGCCCGGCCTCTCTCTCTCTCTCCACTTGTCCTTATCCACTCTTCTGCCGCTCAAGCACACCAGCTCATCTATGACTCTGCTCGACACACTATGCTACACGATGACAAGCCGTAATAATGGACAAATTTAGCCAGGATTGGAGAAAATCAAATTAGAAACTGATTCTATAGAATAATAATAAAGCTGGTTCTTTATGTTTGTTACATACATATCTTCAATACACTGCAGTTCTAAGGAGGAAATGCTCAGCCATGGCCTTTTCTGCTTATTTTATTTATTGCATGTCTTTAACCCTCCTATTACCTTCAAATATACTGACATCTTTTATCCTTGGGTTCAATTTAAACCTCCAGAAAGTATCCTAATTCAAATTGTTACCCAAGTTTATGTGTAAATAGCCCTTTAAATGAAACTGAAAAAATTATGCCAATGATTTATTTCGACATGTTAAACATTGAATGCGGTCAAATTGATCCCAAAGATAACAGGAGGGTTAAAGCACACAGAACAACACTATGTGGAAATGTTAACACAGTAAAAAAGAAAATATTTTCACTAGGAGGGGTCTTTGAATAGTTTGAAATTCATCATGTTTATGGCCAAAAGAGATCGATGTAATTATTGATTTTTCACTGGAAAAAAAACATTCTCTCTCCATGAATGCGTATATTTCACCTTCAACTTACTGTAAACACATTCGTTTTTTCTTTTACTTATTTTCTTCCATTATGCTGATAAGACTCTTTCCACAGACAAAATGTAAGTTGCCCTTGTTGCAAGTATTTGTTGGTAATATGTCTTTATGAGCAGTGTTTTATCATCCTTAGAATTTAAAAACCTAATATAACAATGTGTTTTTATGCAAATGAGTTAAACTAACCTTTGTAACATACGACTAACTAACAAAGAATGTAATGTGTGCACACACTTGTTCGGCTCGACTAACTCCTCTGTGACGTAGTTGAGGAAGTTCCAGCCTCCGTATGCAAACGAGCCTTGCAGGAAGGACAGAGCGATCCGACCGACTTCATAGTCGCGGAAGGTCTCGAAGGCGTTTGCTGGCTCCAACCAGTAATAGTGACCTGTTAAGCAAAAGATAGATTACTAGACAGATACTGAACGTGGAGGACTCATTTCTTCACCACCACACAATGAGCAGCAGAGGGCAGCAGATATAACAACAGCAGTTCTTCTGCTGCAATTTGATTAAAGGCCTAAAAGGTATCAATATGTTTACACTATACATTTAATCTAAAGACACATTTCTGGTTATGAGAGACATTAAGAGCAGTTTAAAGTTTTCTTTTTCCATCTCAACTTTGCGTAGAACAAAGATATGTATCGTTGGAGTGCTGCAGTTTCACCCCAATAGCATTCAGAAAGCCTATTAAAGCACTTAATTAGATCAAACTCATTTACCTTGTTTTGTCCAACTTCTTTCACAGCTTATTGATTTTAGAATATAATTAAATATGTTTTATTAAGCGCTCCGCGTGGGAATGACAACAGAATTCACCAGTTATAAGCAAAACCATAAAAATCTAGACAAAAGAGACATTAATTGGACTTCCATCCCACACAAAGTGGGATATTCCAGGGCTTTAATATGAAAGCGTTTGTTCACTGCACCTGGCAGTTTATGCGTGTGGATTATGAGTAGGATGAAGAGTAATGTGGGATTATAATCCCTCTTTCACTTTAGGATGACAAATCCTGTGAGAGTCACATGGGGACTAAAGTATATTGTGATTGTAGCGAGAGTGTTGTAACTTCAAAAATAGTATTTCTAGGCTTTATGACAGTAATGTTTAAACTGGGGTCAAAAGGAGAGGTTATGAGATGATTAACAAGAGTGGACTTCAGTTTCAAAAGTGTACAGAAATACTGGAGACAACACCTCTAAGAGACACATCTGTAGTAAGACACTAAAAGAGCTAAAGCTGAGCTGAAGTCTGTGCGAAAGATACAGAAGAAGAAAAAGATACTACCTTTGCATATTTGGACAAAACCCATGGTTATGATGAGGCCCAGGGCCAGAAGCTTGCCGGCAGTGAAGACATCTTGGACAAACGTGGCCCAGCGCACACTGTAGCAATTCACCCATGTCAACAACACTGAGGACAGCAAGAGAAAATATTACGCCAAGTTACAAAGATATTTGTTTTGTCTGCAGGCAATCTAGAAATGAGAAAGATGGAGCTCACGCACCAGGATGACAACCTTTGCATTCAAAACACGAAGCTTGATAAAGTAACCGCAACAAAAAAACTGGTCAAGTCAGACTACTCAGACCTGTTAAATACTCGTTTTATAGTTTTGTGGTGACAAAAAACTAAATATGTATTAGAGGTTAGAAATCTGTTTACTGTTTACTCAATTTACTGTTGAATTAGTTGATATATATGTAAAAAATCCTTCAACTTAAGATACAAAATGAAGCCACAGAACAACAGGTTTTCACATTAATGGTACATCTTAGGATTAAACTGAAAACACACATCTTACTCAACCAGGAAAAAGACTCAAAGATCGTTTTTCTTCTACTCGTACTCAGTTGCAAATGAATGTGAATGTGGGCTTAATTGCATTACACCTATCATGTGGGAATTACTTTTCCCCAGAATACTTGTTTTGCCTTCAGCAGTTTTAAATTCTAGTTTAATGTTTTCATAAATAATCTAATTTAATAAATTGGCTTATTGGCACAGGACCTTTCAGGATTTTAAAATAACTCACTTTCAGGGCCAGCATAAGTGCACTGCAGAGAATCACATAAAAACATAAGCTTGTCACTGTGGCCTCCCTCTGGCCTTCTGGTTGAAGTTAGGGGACTGGAGAAACAAGTTACAACTTGGGTTCACTGTGTTGCAACTAGGAATCATTGATCGTGTAAGATTCACCATAGCTGGAGGCAACACACAGGCTGGCAACAAGAACCTGCATGAAACTTAACCTAATCGTGACTCTACAGATCAACACAATGCCCCAAATCACACCCTGTTTTCGGATAAATAGAAGATGACACCTGAAAACTTGCAACACTTTCTGTAGGATTAATTTTACATTGAAATGGTCGACATTTCCATTATACCTGGGCATACGAACATTTGATCCTTCCATACAGTTATAACCACCATTATATGTCACTATCTCTGTGTTTCCCCCGAGGTCCTGTGCTTGTTCTCCCTGCGGACGTCTCTGGATCCGGAGCTTCACGTCCCTGACCTCCAGCCGCTGGCCTCACCAACCCCCAAAACACTTACACTCATATTTATTGTTCTGTTCTATTGCTGCTCTCCATCTGCTATCATGTTTTCCCCACCCCACCTCACCCAGCCGGTCAAGGCAGATGGCCGTCTTCCCCGAGCCTGGTTCTGCCAGAGGTTTGGTTCCTTCCCACCGTTGCCAACCACTTGCTAAGAGGAAGTCCAAAGGCTACTTTGGATTGTTGGGTTCTCTGTTTAAATTTGTAAGGTCTATACCTCACCATGTTAAATGCTGTGTGATTACGTGTTTTAAACTGCGCTATACAAATGAAATTGATTTGAATTGAAATTAAATTGATGATTTGCTCAGATGAATGATGCATAAAACGGACAATCTGTTGTCATTTTCATGAATAATATAAATAAACCAGATCAATTTCATGGAAAATGTGTGCACATTTATCACAACTTCAGATCCACCAAATTAGAATCAGGGCTTCCAGATTAGGTGCCAATGATTAGAACCTCCTTATGGAGTGACAACTTGAACTTGTCTTATTTAAAGCGCTGACAACGAGGGTCTGCTGTTCTTTTTGCTCAAGTGTGTGTTGTTATCCTGCCAAGAAACCGTTGCTGTCCAAAAAGAACATTAGCGCAAAACTACAGCTTGCCAATTAACATATGGGCATGCATTTGGGAATAATGTGCTCTGGATGGATGAATGAAAGATAGAGTTGTTTGGCAACAGCTGACAAAAAAACGGCATTTCAGGTGAAGAACTGCAAACCAGCTGTAAAGCATGGTGGGGGAAATGTTACGGTGTGGAGTTGCTTCATTGCCTCAGGGACTGGGCAGCTTGTAGTCATTTATTCAACTATGAATTCTGCATCATATCAAATAGTGTTTAAAGATAACAGGAGGCCATCTGTCTGTCTGTCAGAGACTGGTGGACAATTATGCAAAACACATTCAAGAAGCTATTTCTGCTTGTGGCTGCGCTCAAGTACATCCCTTTTATCTAACTTTCCCAAATGTGTCAAAAAAGCCAACAAATTTGTGTTTCCCTTTTTGATACGACTTTGTGTTTGAGGGTAAAAAACATGGTTTGCATTTTTAATCAACTGACACTCAAGTAACTCTAGCAATTTCGTATTGCACTTTCATTGGGTAGAGGAACTTGTGGGTGAACAGAAATTACTCAGTGATGCCATTTGAGCAATTTTCCAGACATGAAAAAGCTCCTCCACAGGCACAAGACGTCATCAAACAGATGTGGATTGTGTAGGTCTCCCACGAGTGCTGCCCTTGGTGTGTATTAGCTGTCGAGTATTTTTTGCACTGACTCATCCACTGACACAAAAACAGCCTTACCAAGGCTATAAAAACCACGGCAGGAAGAATTCACCATGCCTAAAATTACCCTTTGAAATACACTTCCCGACATTGTTTTATAATCTGTATCTGTTAATGCACTAACGTCTTCAAACAGTCATTTAGTCTTTAATTGTAATTTATGACTCACGCAGGCAGACAGCAGCCAGCAGGCGGAGGCCAATTAATGGGGGAAGGCAGCTGGGGAAGAGTGGATGCAGGACGTAGTTTGAGAAGGTGAGGGCGATCACGGCCTGGTTAGTGGGATAGATAACCAACACTGCAACCCACAAACGCAGGAACCTGGAGGACGACACAGGTGTGTGGTTAATGAGGCACACAGCTGCATACGCATCCAGGACATAAACACAACAGTGTGTGAGAATACCAGCCCGTGTTACGACAAAACGTAATGGAAAACAATGGAAATTAAGCATGTTAGCCAAGAGCATTATAGTAATTCACTGGAGCATTGTTGGTAGAGAGAAGAGACATGAATAGAAGTGGGTCAACAATCTGGGAATGCTGGGAATTCAAAACTACATTATGAGGGGAATTAGTTATATGGTTGTGAGAAGCAGGATGGGGGTGGAGGTTTACTATCAAATTCTCATTCATTACAAAAGGCTTGCCACAACCTTGTCATACAATATTATTTTAATAACACTTAAATGTAATATAGGCCAGTGCCATCAACACCCACTCTGACTTCAGTAATAATTACAAAGGGGAATCATCACCTTTTTGACAGCATTAATAAAAACTAACAACAAGAAAGCTTTGTAAAAATAAAATGAATGGCCGAGCTGTTGATCTGGAATGTGTTCAATTAAACAAATGTTCTAAATAAAGTGGCTGCAAATGATTCTGAAGTTGTTGTTGAGAGAAAAATGATTCACTCTCATTTGCCATTGGTACACGATTGCTTATATTTAATTGTGTAGCAGCTGCCTTTGGAGTCACCAAAACCCAGAGTTTCAATCTTACACACACAGAGCCTTAAACTTGTATCTTATATTTAGACAGACAACATTTTTTCTCACCCAGCCAGTCCTCCAAAGATGTCCTTGACATAGGAGTAGTCTCCCCCTGACTTGGGGATGGTGACACCTAACTCTGCATAGCAGAGCGCACCGATGGCTGTGATAATGCCAGTAGTGACCCACACAATGAGGGCAACACCCAGTGAGCTGGCATACTCTAGGACCCCCTTAGGACTCACGAAAATGCCACTTCCAATGATGTTGCCTGAGCGGGTAAAGAGTAAAGAGGAGGAGAACAGATTAAGGGATTGTTAACGGATGGACACACAACAAAAATCCTGTGAATACAATTTATTACATCCACCATGTTCTGTATGGAACAGGATTGCACTGTGGACATGTTAATCAGCAGTCACAGAAAAACAAGGTGAAAAGCAGCCACTGAAGCACAATGCAGGGCATAAAGGGAGAGCTACAATTTCCTGTCACATAACGCCCAATTTCCTGTAGTGGTCATGGTATACTCTCTGATACAATCTCTTCTACGACAGCGTTAGCTTAGCCCTCTTAACAGAGAAAACAGGCTGGTCCATAATTACCACTTCTAGTAAAATGGCACATTGCAGTCATTTAATGAAAAGGTGTTTAAAGAGTGAAAAGAGGTAAATAAACTAAAAGGCCAGCTGTGGATTTGCCTGTTTAGGGTCTGCCATAATATTCCCTATGTGGGCTCTTTGTGGGTATTTTGCAGGAACATTGGAATAGAGCTGAAAGCCTGAACTGGGCCACTGCAGGTAAACCCGCAGCCTTTTGTCTTTTGGGCTTCATGCGGATTTTCTCAGTCACAGTGGGTTTTCGGTATATAGCTCTCACTAGCTCTTAAAACATTTAGCCAATGTGGACTCACCATGTGTCCATGGGCTTGTATTATTCAATGCTGGGACATAAATCTCAATCCTTGAGCAGCCTTAGCCTGCACTTGAACTTGCCAAATACTTATTCGACACAAGCTTCCTGATATACAGCCCATATGGGGAAAATGTGGACTTGTTTGAGAATTATTTTTGCCTTTCTGTGAAGCAGTCCAGGAAGATTTGCAGTCGAGTTATGTTTTGATGACACAGATGAGCAGCTGGAAAGAAGTGCACAACTGCTACATCCTTTGTTTTAGCAGAGAAGTCTTTTAATGTCTGAGGAGATGGCACAATGAGTTCATATCCTGTCACTGCTGGGAACAACGAATCAAAGTTTGGAGACAAACAGCCTGTTTCTGCTGAAAACATCAACTGTAAAGTTTAGTGTCTGGGAAACTCCCCGCCTTCAATGACTGAGCAACTCAAGCTCCGAAAAGATGAAGAGAAGATTGTGTTCCAATTATGACACTTCTTCGCTCATTTAACAGCACTGGGGTACTTGCCATCGTGGGCGGCTTGCTATAATATTTAAACCGCCCACGACGGCAAGTACCCCAGTGCTGTTAAATGAGTGCAACTTTACCAGCCTGACACCAAGTCTGCACTTCTTGGCTGAGGGCCAAAAAAAATGATGAAATCCTGAATTTAAAATTGCTCTATGTAGCTGAGCAAATGCAGCTCAAGCTATTTTGTACATTTAAAATGTGTGTATCATATTGATTTGAATCACCATAAACAAATCCAAACACTATTGTCCAGATGGCCAACACTACTTAATCCCAGTATATGCCCACCCAGCATATGTTTGGGCTGCCCAAATAGAGAACACTTTCCAAGTTAAAGTGGTTTCACAGCGGTCCAAAATATAGCTTGTGTTTTGAGTAGCTGGAGCGAGATGTAAGAGGATTCATGAGTTTTTAACACTCATTTACTCATAAACGTTTCCACATCATATCATGCCTAAAACAAAAAATAAGAGTATTGCTGCTTTATGTCAATGGTGCAGTGACCACACTACAGCCACACTTGCGGTGGTGGAAACTGCAGTCTTAACAATAGTGAAAGGCCATTAGTTGGATTACTTTTTATTGATTTTTTCCCCCCCTGCATGTATGCACGGTCGGCAGGGATCGAGTAGGTTTCATGACAGCCAGCCGTTCCCTGGAAACATGATAGTGACGATGAAAGTGCATGTGCAAGATGTATGACGCAGGGAGCGCACTGAAGATGTCCAGACTTTATGACAGAAAGGACCTCAGGACTGAAATGAAAATTTGATTAAAAGGGAGAGATTTCAGTCAGTCATGCTGAGCCACTGGCTGGATGTTTGATTAAGTTACTGCAGCTTGACTCAGTTACCTTCACAAATGTAAAGGTATTCTCACCAAGATAATACATGTTGCTGCAACTGGAAAATCAGGACGAGTTTTGTCACACAAACAAGCCATCAAAGCAAACATTTGCTTATTTTACCACGTCAGCAAGAAAGCTACTGTACGCCTATGCTTATAAAATAGTGACAGGTAATTCCATAAAGCACTTACACCAAACAATCCAGACAATCATTAGCCTTTCGTAAAAAAAACATAAATACATTTGACATACAGGCGAATAAAAAAAATAGCAAGCATTATATCCAATGATGGATGATATAGATAGCAGGGATGGCTCACCCTCATCATGACCAAGACAAGATCTAAAAGGTAAACGTAGTGAAATCACTCTAAAAAATAAACTAATGTTAATGGAGTTATTGAAATCCAAGTGAAACCATTTTTTTATTTTTTTGTTGCCACTTTTTTCAGTAAAATAAACCTGATCAACCAAGCCTGGGTCCATTGTTTTATCCCAAAGCATATTAAGTAGGACTTATGCATGATAGCATTAAATACTAGTGATACATAGAATAGCAATTTCATCTTTGAATGGCTTTGGTTTCTTCTTCTTTAGTTGTTACTGTGTTTACTGTTATTTTACAGATTTTTGCTGTTTTGTACAATTACAAACTACATCTAGCAGAATCACAAAACTATAACAAGTATTCATTTACATGTTTTTACACTTTCAACATAAATAGATGCACAAAATGTATTTTTGCAAATCTGTATTTTTCCAAGTCGTCAACTAAATTGTTCTTTTACAGTGTGTGACCACAACATGTTTACAGCTTTACTGCATTTAAATCAACAAAAATTGAACTATTTAACTGATATTTGCCGTTATTTCATTTATTTATATTTTTGTACAGTTTTTGAACAATAAAGTAGTTCATCTTTTTTGTTTTATGCTTTCGGCAGGTCATAATGCTCCTAATTTTTAGGATTTATATTCATTTTTTTCTAAACTTTGATCTTATCTATACAAATCTATGGCTTGTTGCACTAATGTTACTGCTGCCTGACTGTTAACGTGTCAAATCGAGTTGTATGAACAGTATAAACAATCTTGATTTAATTTTCACCACTGTAAGTTTGACTTACAAGTCTTACCTTGACTGCCTGCCTGAGGGATAACGTGTACTTTCATGTGTTGTTGTATTCCGGGCACACCTCCTGGAATGACTTACCTACTATAATGCCACAGGCGCTAACGAGGCCGATTTGTTGTTTCAGAGCCACCCCGGAGCTTCCTCCTGCATCTTTCCCCACACACGGCTCTGTGTCTCCGGACGCCGGCTCACCGCCCCGCTTCCTCGGACCCCCGGTCATCCTGAGGCCGCGCCCAGTGTCTCCCCCTCCCTCTTGTGTGGTCAGGAGACAGGGGGCAGCAGCTTCTTATTGAACCTACCGAAGCAAATACACTCAGGTAACATTATTTTTCTGCTGAGTAGTTTTCCCATCACTTTCATTGGGACGGTGGACAGCACCGGTTTCCATCTTGTCAGTTGGCTACATTAGAAACCTCATCACGGCATTAATAATTCACACGGCGACACGGTAAACCTATTCTGTACATGCGGGGTTTGATGTAATATAGTTACCACAAACAAACCTGAGTTTCTCGACTGAAATGAGTAAGCTAGCAAGCTGACACAGTAAAGTTCAAATTCACCGGTTTGACGTCCGGCGGCGGAGCTAATCCGAGTTTTTTCCGGTTATTATCGACAACAGCGGTGTAATTTCCCTTTAGCTCATCAGCAGTGACCTGAAGCTCTTTGTTTTCGCCCGAATTAACTCTTGAACAACTCTTTTCGTAAGTGTGAACCCACCTTTTATGAGCAGCCGCGGTAACCTGGACACTTCAAAAGCTCCGTGTTAAGTGATGGACTTCATGTCTGCCGTGCGTCGGCTGCTACTGATGAGCGGGATAACGGAAGAGTGACAGCCGCGATAAAGAGAAAAGCCGGTTATGATCAGCCAATCAGCGGCCAGAAAACTGTCAACACGGCTCAGGCCCCGCCCCCCGTAGTGAGGCCGCGCTGCGCTGTTCATTCATCAGGAAACATGCAAAACATATCTACAGATTGTACTGAAAAACTGCTTTAAATGGTTAAGTTAAACATTAAAAATAATTGAAATGGCTTAAAAAGTAGTGTCAGTGAATTCAGAGGAAATATCATATAATTTAAGTCTAATCTACAAACCAGTGATACAGTTTATTGTTATTAGAGCAAGTTATTTGGTTTATGATGATGGTGATGCTGATGTTGCACTTGCTGAACATTTACAAAAACACAATGGCTTAAAGTACATACAAGGTGCACTTATATGTTACATGCAGTATGTGCAGGTTAAGTATGTAAATATATGGTAAATTTAAGCAGAAGGTGCATATACTAGCGGTAGAGAATACTATACTCCTTTTAAAGACATGTTTTCAGAATCAGCTTTTTTTGATCAAGTATGTGAACACATACAAGGAATTTGAGTTCAGCATCAAAGTACTTACAAAAAACAGAGCACACATGTGTTTAAACAAGACGAAACAGACGAAACCTTTAACTTTGAATACTATGCACAACTATAGAAATGTCTAAAAGACCATCTTGAAAGTAAACCAGAGTTTAAGTGAACCAGAGTTGAAGAGTTACTGACACCTTCTATACATGAGGTAGGTGGATGATAGTGCATTGAAACAGTAGGCATCATTGCTGGAATAAAATATGAGCGGCTATGTGATATTCAGTAAATACAGTAGTTATTTTTTCTTTCTTTTTTTTAATCTAAATCGAATTCTATCTAATTTCATCCTATTGCACTATAATGACTAAAGTACACCAACATCCACGCCCGCCGATGGGGGGGGGGCAAACGGGTCTGTTGTCCCGGGCCCAGAGTGGGGTGGGGGGCCCAGAACTGGACCCTCATTGAATTATGGATTTTTTTCCCCAAAGAAGGGCTATTAATGGAAAGAAATAGTGCAATATTTGAGTTAGAAGTTTTAATTTGTTTTCGTCTGACCTGTCCTTAATATCTTTGGAATTGCCCTCCACCCCCACCTCCAACATAAAATGGTTTGGCCCCTGATCAACATTTGATGTCCTTTTATTGGTAGTTCGGATTTTGCACTTCAGCACCAAAATGTCCGCTCAGCAGAAGTCTGGAAAAGGAAAAAGAAGAGAAAAAGAGAGGAAGAAAATAGAGGCCTTAGAGATTTGCTTAAAAAATACTTTAAAAAAGGTGGTGACAACGAAGCTGGAACTAGTAAAGTCAACGTAGAGCGAGGTAAGAAACAGCGGAGCCAACGTTTGTCAGCCTTGTAACGTTTTTTGGCTAGCTCCTAATATCCATTAGCTATGATAAAAATCCTGACAAAACACGGGTTGTTTTGACAGAAACGGACGAGTTCGTCAGAGAGGATGAGACAGAGAGGCCGAGGCGAGAGATCCACCTGCCGTCAGGTAACAGAGATGAGGAGGAAGGGGCCAGCTGGTCCGCAACAGAGGGACAGAGTCAGACCACGGATGAGGCTGAGAGAGGGAGCGAGTCACGGTGGAGCGGGAGGGGCTTGCTGCCCAGTCGGACAGTCTGAGCAGGATGGATCAAAAACGTATGCACACAACAGGAGAGGAAGAGCAAAGAAAAGGGGAGATGTGGGTGAGTGGGGTGAGGTGGGGGGGGGGCATCTAATATCATCTTGTCCCGGGCCCAGGCAAGGCTGTCAGCTGGCCTGTTCGGCAGTAACCTGTACCACACAGCCACGAACAAAACCACCGTAGAGTGGAATCTCAATACCATCATTGTCTAACACTTTAACGTCTCGAACAA